GAAAGACAATTCTCTTGTGGAAAACTGTATTTCATTCTCTGTTGCTGTGCTTAAATAAAATATGCAGGAATATAACTATTTCCTGAATTTATCATCTGTTTCATCTGAAGCTGCCTAATGTGGTTTAATGGCTAGGTTGATCTTTGTTAAAGCATCTTCCATAATAAAAATAAATGTGCAGTAGGAAATTCTAATTTAATTTCATTTTCCTAAACTTCTGTGCTGCCTTTCACCTGAAATGAATTTAAAGGCTTTATCAAAACTTAAAATAAAACCTGATTAAAATTCAGGATTTGAATTTCTTTTGACTTAATTAATCCTCCATGAAAATAGTAGAAACTAAAAAATAACAGCAGTGTTAAAGAATTGAGTCTGTTCTATGTCAAAATAAAGTTCTGCCTTACAAATGGAATGCTTACAGGGTGCCTACTCTAGAGTTGTTGTTCCGTTTATATGGCTACCCATCTCACTACATTGACTCTGGGTGACTAACAGTTGGCGAAGTCTTGGTTCAGCCTTGCTCCATTTCTCCTTTCTTCATTATTCTGCACTTTGATCTCCCTGCCACATATTCCAAATCAGTACCACTATTGAATAATAAATCCAACAAGAACCCATCTTTGTTGAAGTGTTTCCCACTTCAGATTGGTGTTCCTGTAAGGGTTTTATTGCTGTTCTCCATTCTTGTGGTTGAGCAATGGTTTGTACAGTAGATTCCTCTCTGTACAGGGTCACTCTGCTGGTTCCACCTAATCCTACAAAATGTAAGTTAAACATGGAAAATATAGAATAAAAGGAAAGAAAGCAAAGGGCACTTTTTATTAAAAGGAAGAAACCTCCTCCTTCCCCAGAGAATAATAATAGGTTGGATTTTTGACACCTAAGCACCATTTAACCCTGTTTTTGTGATCACTGCTTATTCAGAACTAGTAATTCCAAAACAAGGATCTTAGTTTATTTGCTTCTGGTATACAGTACATATGGTTGATAAAATTACTGTTTGCCCCACTGAGTATTGCTGCAATTTCCGTTTTCATTGAAGTGTCAAGGATCTATACATTCTGCACTTAGTTAATGAATGTAAAAATTGAGTAGATTTCCAAGCAACAAACGGAAGAACCCAGCCCTACCATGGATTTGATTTTTACACAAATATCCCTCTCTTAAATTACACACCAGGATAAAGATGCAATGAATAAATACGATGGGTGAGAAAGCATACAATAGGGAAAGAGTATTTGGTGTATTGGCCTTGGGCATAATGTGGCACACAGGCTAACATCTTTGCTGTTCTTGATTCAATATGAATAAATTGCTGTCAGTTTCTGCCTAGCTTTGTGGATGCCAGAGCATCCTACAACAAACTTTAATACTTAGTGGAATGCAGAATTGCTTGCTCAGCTCCTTAGTCTTTTGTGCCTAAATCTACTTCATTGATACAATACAAAAGTAGCAGTAGAATACATTGAAAAAAAAACTAACCACATTCCTCATCACATGCTACCCATTTTTTGTCATTAAGATTGCTGCTATACATAGATTTCTGAGCAGGCAATAAATGGGATAATAGCTAACTAACAAGAGTGGCAAACACCCAAAAAAAAAATAAAAATAAAAGGGAAAGTATAGTTTAGGACAAACAAAAGAAAATAGAAGAACACACTGACTACTGGAAGTATGGCTGGAATGCTGTTTTCAAAAAATGTAGAATATATATTAGATAGTCTATAAGCATGAGAACAGTGAAATACAAGTCTGTATGACAGTGGGATGTATTTCTGCACTGTTGGATAAGTGCACAACTGAATAGGCTCCTGGAAAAGAACGTACATGTAAACCTCTATCATATCTGGGCAGAGGATTCATCCCATGTGAGCCTCGTGACCTACTGTGGCAGTAGGAAACCTGCCCCATATATATGCGAACCAAAGATGTCAGTTGTGAGATAGAGAAAGGAAGTTATCTTGCAGTATATAAAAGTAAAGCCCCAAAGGCTGCAGGGAGTCAGTACAGAGACTGCGGCATATCAGTGTGTGCTCAGTTACCTTTTTGGCTCAGCTACCTCTTTGCTGAGGAATTCTAAAATTACTGCCTCCGACCAGTGAACGCCACTTGCTGTGCTCAGAGTATAACCCATATGCAAGTAGAGAATAGAGCAGTGTTTCCCAACCTTTGGTGCTGGCTGGGGAATTCTGGGAGTTGAAGTCCACACAGTTTAAAGTTGCTGAGGTTGAGAAACACTGGAATATGGAACAGAGAGATTGGAAATTTGCTAACTATTTGTTGTTCTGGGGATTTGATTTTTTTTTTTTTTTGGTCACAGTCATTTGATAAGATACATAATTTTCTTTTTCTTTTTTTATGACATGTTTTACATTCAACTTTAGGAAACATTTTTAAAACAGTATTGAAGATAGACAGGTAGATGTATCTCAACGTTTTAATTATTTTCCCTCAGTCCAAATGGAAAGGATAAGTTATCATTTTTAAACTGAGCCTCTCCCACATAACTGAAACCAGCTTTGTGTACTTTTTTAAACTCTACATTTCTCCAGGATCAGTGTAATTTAATTGAAATAGTGCTGCATGTGTAAACAGCTCCGTTGTTTAAAGAAGATTCCACTGTTTAGTTTGCCTTAAGTAAATGCAGCCTTTTGTTTGTCTGTAAAACATTTGATTAAATGTACAGGCTAATATAGACAGCTAAGCATTCCTCTAGTGGGCCGTATAAGTTTGAAATACATTCTAGCATCAAACTGTAGAGTAAATGCCCTGTTTAAAAACAGAAAAACAAACCCCAACCCTAGATTCTTTTATTAAAAATAATCTTTCCAGTATTCTCAGAGTTTTCATAGTTTCCCAGGAGTACTTTAATGGTCACCTTTCCTGTCTTGGAAATAGTATACATTTCCTTAAGGTCCATCCTTTGCTGTTAAATAGGAATGGTGTGGATTTTGTTGAGCTAGGTGTTTTTAGTAGTATTTGTCAAAATTCAACTTTGATAAACAAGAAAGAAAACTTGAGTGTTTTTTTTTTAATGATTGCAGGAACAAGCAAAAAAAAACACCAGGTATCTACCTTTACTGTGAAGGTTAATGTGTGTGTGTGTGTGTGTGTGTTTATTTAATATCACAAGACTTTCTAAGAGTGACCAAACACACCAAACACAAATGGTGGGTGCATTCCAGAACATGAGGTCTCCTGTGAAATGATAACTTGTGCATGTTACATTTAATTATTTAAACTCTCCTTTTCGTCTCAGTGTAAGGCACCCAGGGCAGCTTAAAAAATGATCAATAGAAAAAATTAAAAATACAAGAACACCTGCAACTGAAATTGTTTCCATGTCCTCTCCTTATTTGCAATACAGGGGTACTAGTGGAAGGACTGGTGGAAGGAATTGCCAGGTACTGTGCAACTAATGACTTCAGAATCTTTGATGCATGATGAAGCTGAAGTTGCAGCTTGTCACCTGCTAGATTATCCTGCAAGTACCAAGGAGGAAACAACTGTAGCTGCATTACTGACATTTTCTCTTGTCCTCCCCCATCTAAGGACTTGGTTGTTCGCTTGGTATCTTGTGTGGAATCTGAGATTATAAGAGCCCTTGGGTGGAATGATAACAGAGATAAACATATTTCCCAGAGCAGAGATTCCAGAACCTAAAAATAGACCTTGTTATGTGTTCCAATAAGATGATTATCAGATATTGGCAGGATACACAAAATAATCTCCCAGAAAGTTCACAAATGTCTGGCTCCTATGGTTGGTGTTACTCTATAACGAAGGATCTCCATAAAGCTAATTCTATTGTCTCTCATCTATATTCAAATGAATTTAGTTTATTTATGTAAGATGATAAGTGTATACAGAAACTACTTTCTCATTGATCTGAATATACTTCTCCCATAACCAAGGTATGTGAGATCACTTATTCTTTTTATTTAAAAAAAGTAAAATATGTACATAGCTTTTGTGCTTGCACTGAAAGACTCATCATAAACTTTGGCCTAATTCAATTGTTATCAAAAATGGAATATTCCTGTATTGCTTGAAGGAAACAGAACATCTAGGTGAGATTGGCAATGTATATCTCATGCCAATGTAGTTCTTCAGTCCTGGAGACCAGTGGTGTTAGGATGGAAAATAACTCTGTTGGCAGTCCCACCTTAATTCAAGTTTTCCAAGCAGTAAAGTGCCAGATGAAGGATTAGCCAGACGTCTGGTAGTTACATCTGAACCAAGACACAATCTCTTATTACATACATTAAATCATAATTAAGTATTCAGTGCTGCATGCACTAAATTGTTCTTAGGGGAAGCTGTTAATAGGAGATAGTTTGGTCTGTACAGTGTTACAGCTCCAGATTCTGAATTGGATTTCTAGAATTTTGATTTCCTAACTTGATATAGCAGAAGGAAAGGATAGCAGGTATACAATCAGATATATAAGTGTTGTGCTTTGTAAATAGTCATAAAGAACCTTATGCCAAAAAAGTTTCCACATGTGGCTTTCTTCTACAAAGTAAACCTGGAACACAGGTTTTAAAAATCAGATAGTAAGCCATGGGTGAAGCCAGAAGTGATATAATACCTTCCTTAAAATAAACTATAACAAGATAGTAAACAAGCTCTTGAGCTCATCTCAGTCTGGATAAAAAAAGGTCTCATATTGTGGCAAGTTAGGCAGGGTGAAAAAACAATGGCTTCTCATATTAAAAGAATATTTGATTAATTTCTGAATAATTTCTCATATTAAGGAAATCAACCATCATAAAAGGTTGCTGCCTTTGCCATTTATTTACTTACTTATTTATATTTATGACATCCTTTGCTGTTGTATATGACATATCTTCTTTCCATCAGTAAAAATTTTGGTATGCTCAAAATCATATAGCTGCTCATAATAATAGAGAAATATGGATCTAGAATAGTGAAATATATTTTAAAAGACCTTGGCATTTATTTGTATAATTAAAATAGTTTTCTTCTTGATTTAGGCAATGCTGGATATTGCAGCAAATGAGGGCTGGTTGGTGACAGCACTAAATATTACCAATTTGGTACAGATGCTGATTCAAGGGCGATGGATCCATGATTCCTCTTTGCTTACTTTACCTAACATAGAATATCACCATCTTCACCTTTTCAGGTATACAGCTAGTTGTTTATAAAGCTGGTCTTTGCAGTACAATTGGAATATAGGACAATAGACTGTTACTGTCTCTCCATGCTCTTGTTGTTGAAAGTTGTGGTATAACGTTAAGGTTATTCATATCTCAGTCACTCACATGCTTTGAAGATTGTGTCTTCTAGTGGTTCTTATCCCTTTCCTGAGACTAGAATCTTCCAATAAAGTTGAATAGTCAGAGAGTAAAAAGAGACAAAAGGAAATACCTCTTCATTTATCATCTAGTTAAGTTTTGTACTCCAAGATATATCCAGTGTAGCAATGTCTTCCAAATTAGACATTTTTTAAAGAGATTAAACAGACTGAGGGAGAATAAAGCTATCAGAGGATAGCAATCATGATAGCTACATATTACCTGATATGTCAGAGATAGCATCTATGAACATGAGTTGCTAGAGAATGGGACCAAGAATGTATTATTGCACTCACGTCATACATATTGGTTTCCCATAAATATCTGGTTGCCAGTTGTGAATCAGAATGTTGGACTAGATAAGCCCTTGGTCTGGTTCACTTCTCATGAGCTGCATCCATATTTGTATAAACGAACTTCAACTTATGTAGTGGATCTCCTACATGGATTCATTTTGGAATGTCCAGTAGAGCAAATTGAGAAGTGTGTGCTTGTGAAGGTTAAGTGAGATAGAAGGAGAAGACAAACAGATAAGGTAGATGGACAAGGTTGGACATGTCATTGGAATGTCCTTGGAAAAGCTTTGGCTTGTCATCAAGGACAGGTCCAGATGGAGAGCATTTGTCCATGAAGTTATGAAAGAATCACATTTGACTCAGAGACACTTAACTAATGCTAAGTGGAAAAGGAAGACACTCTTAAGATTCTAATGCAAACAGCCAGCATTGGATAAAAACTGTTTGTATTTCCATACAATGTGCTGATTATATATGTGTAAATCAAATATCGCTACTCTTGTTATGGCTACATAAGCCTATGAAATGTCATATGCCGAGTCTTTCCATCTTTGTGCATACAATAATCTCTTTGCAGTTATCATACATAAAAACAAAGTTCCATGACTTTTTTCCAACTGCTTGTCCATCAATCCCAAAAGAAAGACCTCTCAATTGTACATTAATTGTTAAAATCTTCTAAATCAGTATGTGCATTGCCCACATTGGAGGAATGGTTGGTGAAGATGATGGAACTTGCTGAGATGGCCAAATTCTTTGATCGGAGAAAAGACAATATCTATGTTTATTGCTGACTGGAAACCCCTTATGGACTTCTTACATAAAACAGGAAAAAATGGACTTATGATTTATGGTTTTGATGATTAGACAGAATAGATTATAGAAAGAATAAAGTCATGTTGTAACCTTAGAGTGACAGGTAAATTTATAATTGTACTTATAACTGCTGTAAAGAAGATCAGAAGACACTTCTTTATATCTTTTTTATTTCTTTTCTATTTTTCTTTTACTTCTTTCCTTTCTTGCACTTTTAGCTTTATTTCTGATTTCTTTCTTTTTCTTTTCTTCGTCTTAGTTTATATTACTATGTACAGTATTAGTTTTTATCTTCCTTTTTAAAACTTTTAATAAACTTATATAAAAATACGTAAGCTATGAAAAAGATCACAATCTCATTAATTTTAAATCGTAACTTAAATCAATAACATTAATGTACATTATACTGTTCATCTATAGTTAATCTACAGTTTAAAGCAAGAGGCGAGTTCCTTAATAATCTGTGACTTTGAGCTATGGTACAGTTCTCAATACAGTTCTTTTAGACATAGAGCAGGCAACATGACAGTTTTAAAATCAGTCTGCCATGCTAATTTTATTAAATCAAAAGACTATTGTTGTGAAAGGCTAAGGCAACCCCATACTTAAAATAGGTTTTTCATTTTTTCTTTTAAAATGTCTTCCCAATTTCATATTCTTATCTCTGTTTTTTTTTTTTTTTTCCTGAAATTAGTTCTCAACTGACAGTATGTTTTCTATTTTACTAGGAAATGGAGCCAAGGGAAGAGGAAAGATGGTTACCAAGCGCCTATTGAATGCCTTCCTGAACTAATAGCTGCTTGTGATGGAAAAGAGAATATTTTTGCTTCCATTGTAGATTGTGATTTGAATTCCACACACATTACACAGGTAATATTTATCTATGTATCCCTCTTAATATTACTGGGGAAATCAAACTGCATGGTACAAATGCAATGGCTGATCATCTTTCATAGAGCTGCATAGAAGATTTGCAATAGCTCAGTTCAATCTGTTCTACAGCATAAATTTCCTCCTGCCCAACCATTCTCCCTCCCTCCAAACTCTGCTTTGCTGGAACTCAAACTTATTGGTCGTAGCCAGACATAATTGCTTTGGACAAAAAGTTCACACACACTCACTTGTAGGTGGATTGCAAAGATATCCATTAACTATTTGTGTGTGCCATGCTGCGCAATTGCTGTAATGTCAAAGAGGTCGTCGAATTGTTCATGCTGTACAGTACAGCGTACCCACTGGGATGTGGGCTTTTTACTTACAGGCCCATTATCTGACCAGCTTCATATTATTTCATTTAATGTATTCAAACATTAAATGCCTCTATCTTAAAAGACAGGTTCTGGTGTTACTGCTTTTTTCTACATTTCTTGCCATTTCCCAGTATATACTTCTTCATTTAAAAAGGATCAGATAATGTCAGAAATAGGATACAATAGATCCTAGTATGTTCATCGGCAAAGAATCTTTGCCTGTAATAGATCTCGAATTCCCTGCCATTTTAGAGCCAACAAGGGTACGCTGCAGAGTGGGTAGTGTATGCTGGCATCCATTTAGTCCCCATTTGTCAGTACACATGAATGGCTCACCACAAAAAATGAGTTTCATATTGCCATATAAGGATATCTGTCCAAACAGTGTGTAAGTTATATTGTGCATGCCTTGGTTGCTTTTTATACCCCCAAAACTCCTGGAAAGTAAGATAATGCTGGTGGTTTTGCTATAGCATTTCTTTAGGAAAGGAAACTAATATTCTCCCTTTAAATTCTGAGGCAATAAAACGGTGAGGTGCTTATACATACACGCACCACACATATTGATCATAATAGTGAAATACATTTAAATAAAAACAAAACCATTCTTTACCACGGATTTCAAATGTAATATATGTTGACTTCAGTCCAAGTTATAGATGTGTTGAAAAATTAGAACATTGTTGTAATTAGTTCAGGGAAAACTCAGAAGTAAACTAACTTAATTTATTTGCATAAATTGCCGTTCTGTTATCTTTAAAACCAAATGCAAATTGGCTCCGTCTGATACGATGATGGTTATTTGGCTCAAAAGTGCTTCAATTTGCGTAGCAATCTGGTGTCGTCTCTGCAGTGAGACGATCTCAGGTAACATACAAATCCTGAATTATTCCAGAAATTAGTATGTTTAAAGCATCAATTTAAGTGCTAATTGCAGTAGTAATGAGAAAAAGCAGTACTACTGTGAGATTTACATCTACTTCCCCATCAGTATGCCCGGAACAGCAGCTGACTGGCAGAGGATTTGGCTGCTAATTAAATAATTGTATGCATGGTAGTGTTCGTGTCTGATTCAATAGATGAAGATTAATCCTCAGATAAATATGTTTGGCTGGTATTGAAATGTCTTAGCAGTTTCTTCAAAAATAGCTTTTGTGTATGTTGCGTGTCCATATCTTTCATGTGTCTTTTTAATATGTCAATAACATAAACTGTGCTTACACTATGCATCTAGATGCATGTAACTGTAAATAAAAATACATTCTACTGCAACATAAAAGAAGCTGCTCAAATGTCTTGGCAATGAAAGTGAGCACTGTTCAAGCATAGGAAACCTTTTATTGTACTTTGCTCTTGAATCGATCACTCTCTTACATGTGTATACCTGCCACATACTTTTAAAAGGGAAACTATGGTAGAAATACGTTGCTGGGGTTAATTGGGCTTAATTTTTCATGTACTTCTTTCTAAACCTACCACTAAACAAATTAAATAAAAATCTGTAGAAAGTGCAAACCACTTTTGAAAGGAGCCTAATCAGCTCTTACAACAGGGCCACATCCACCAGCAACTGAGTCCAAAAGGACGTGAAGGCAGGTCTCTCTCTCCTTCTCCCGTCTGCTGCCTGCCATTGTATACAGGCAAGCAGTATGATGGGACGCCAGAGAGTTAGTTGGCATCCTCTATACGTTGATTTGGAGAATCTACATACACTCACGGCAGAGTGACTTAAGGGAGAAACTTGTGGCATTCCCTGCCGGCT